GAGCCCGATGCGGGACTCGATCCAGGGACTCCAGGATCATGACCTGAGCCGAAGGCAGTCGCTTAACCAACTGAGCCACCCAGGCGCCCCTCTCATAGCAGCCTTTTTAAAAATGATGGAGATGGAGAAACATTAGCAAAAGAGTCAAAGAATATGAAAGAAACATGTAGAGGAAAAAAGCAATGATGCCAAGTTAGGGGCATGAAGGATAGTTTCTTATACCTGAGGCCTGGAAACTGCAACAAGAAGGGCCAGGCTCCTGGGGTAGAGTAACCAGGAAGGCCTGGGTAGCTTCATCCTCCATGCTCTGGACTGCTGCATAAGAAAAGCTGACTCAAGCACAGCTCCTCTACAGAACTCTGGGTCCCATTCCTGGCCTCCTGCCCCACTCATGCCTGTTTTCACAACCTTCAAGGACCACCAGTCTGGGCTCCCAGCTCCCACTTGCGCCAACATCCATATGACATGGATGTCCTCACCTTCTGGGCTCTGATTCTCTCTCTCCACAAAGCACTGGGTAGCCTGTAGGTCCAGGTCTTCAGAATCTGGGAGGGGAAGAATATAAGATAGATAATAAAAGTCATATCTGGGGCACCTGGGTGGCTCAGTCGGTTAAGCGTCTGCCTTCGGCTCAGGTCATGATCCCAGGGTCCTGGGATCGAGCCCCACACTGGGCTCCCTGCTCAGCGGGGAGCCTGCTTCTTCCTCTGCCCTGCAGCTGCTCTGACAAATAAAATCTTAAAAAAAAAAAAAAGGTCATATCTGAAGCTTAACTCCTTACTCTTTCTCTACCATTTTCTCCCCAACCCCAAGCCCCCTGCAATGGACCGAATGTCTGTATCCCCACCCACGTTCCTATGTTGAAACCTAATTCCCAATGTGATTTTATTAGGAGCTGAGTTCTTTGGGAGATGATTAGGTAATGAGGGTAGAACCCACATGAATGGGACTAGTGCCCTTCTAAAAGAGACCCCAGAATTCCTTTTGTGCCCCTCTGTCATGTGAGGACACAGGGAGAAGACAGTGCCTATGAACAAGGAAGCTGGGCTTCACCAGAACATGACTATCCTGGCACTCTGATCTTGGACTTCCCAGCCTTCACAACTATGAGAAAAAATTTCTGTTGTTTATAAACTACCCAGCCTATGGCATTCTGTTATAGCAGCCCAAATAGACTAAGATACCCTATAAGCATTCTTTCTTTTAGGGGTTAAGGGAGGAAGGCCAGCACTTACCCCCATGGTTGTCCCCAGGGTCCTCGGTCTTGTCCACATGTGGTTCTCTCTCCCTTTCTGTGGGGGTCTGGGCTCCCTCTCTCTGTGGCTGGATGGGTTCCCCTGAAGTACCTGTGTCTACCACCAGATCTATAAGGTTCTCCCTCGAGACAGGGAGAAGATCCTGTTCCATCTGTGACACAAGGGACTCACCCTGGGCCCTCGCCTCATGAGCCCTCTCCCGCTCAAGAACAGCTGTATCCCCTTCTGCCAGAGGCTGGCACTTTCCTCTATCTGCCACCACTGAGGCTGCTAAGGATGTGCCCTCTTCTGCATCTATCTCACAGTCCCCAGGTGGAGGAGGCTGGGCTTCCTCCAGATGCACCACAGGCAGCTTTGCTTGGCCCCCTTCTACTTCCACATCTGTTTGATTTGTCCACACCATAGGCACCTGATGCTTCTCCACAAGTATAACAGCTGGCCCTGATAGGACTTTCTCCTCCACTTGTTTGTTGATGTCCACTGTGGCAGAGGCTTGGCTTCTCTCCAGGTGGACCGCAAGTGAGCTCTTATCTTCATCCACCCCTAAATCACTGTCTTGGAGAGGAGACTGCCTCTTTTCTGAATGTGCCTTGTCTGTATGACACTTGGGAACAGTTCCTCTCTTTTCCACCGGGAGCCCCTCCTCCTCCACGTCTGTGTCACTGTCTCTCCCAGCAGAAGTTTGGCTTTGCTCCAGAAGGGCCACAGGGTGGGCCCTACCCTCTTCCACATCTGTATCTCTGTTCCATATATCGACTCGGCTCTCTTTCAGACGTGCCAAAGTGAGCGCTGCTAAGACTTCTTCCTCATTGTCTGTATTGCTGTCAATCACCACGGAGGCTTCGTTTCTCTCCGGAGGGACTGCCAGTTGGAGCTCCCGTTCCTCCACATCTGTATCACTACCAGCTGGGCTCTCCTGTAGATGTACCAAAGCAGGTGCCTGAGGACTCTTTGTACTATCTCCATGGAAGATTTGCCTCTTTTTCATAGGAACTACAGCTGGGGTTGCGGGGATCCCTTCTTCTTCCACATCAGTATCACTGTCTATGAAGCCAGAAGTCTGGGCCCTTTCCAAATGGACCTCAGCAGGCCTGCTTTCATCCACATCCGTGTCACTGTCCTCCCCAGCAGTTTGGTTTTTCTCCAGAGTGGCCCCAAGTGGGACCACCCCATTCCTTGCATCTGCCTCAACTTTTGTGTCATTGTTCCTCTCTTTCACTGAACACTGATCCTTTTCAAGCTGGATTTCAGTTGCCACAGCTTTAGGCTGTTGTGTCTCTGCGGTGGGGCCTCTTCTGGCAGCTAAGGAGGCCTCTCCTGCTGCTGGATGCTGACTTTCTTCCTCATCTGTGTCGCTGTCCAGGTTGAAGGCAAATGGTGGCCCAGGGCCATCTGGGGCAGGAGAAGGCCCCTCTTCATCACTGTGAAGGGAAGAGAAGGGAAAGAGTCTATAGCATCTGTTTCCCAACACGGAATACTCCACTCAACTATGAGCTCCTTAAGGGCAGACACAAGGCAGTAGATGTTTGTTTTGGTTTTTTTTTTTCTCTCTCCAGCAATTAGTTCTCTACTTGGTACAATCAGAGGTGCTCAATAAAAGTTCAGCTGAGCAAAGGAGTATGTGCAATTCCCCAACCCCATTTCCATGATAAGCATCTCTTGCAGATGGATCCTACAGTCCCTGGTTCCTCCTCCTTTTGAAGACTCAAGTATCTGGCCCTTTGGCACTCACCTCTCTGGAACTACTGCTGCCAAAGGGGAGGTCCTTAGTTCTTTCTTCACACACCTTTCAGAAGGAGAATCTGTCAAGAGTACAAAGGAGTAAGTTGACTGTTTTACACTCACCATCTCCATCTTCTCACCCACCCTCCCAATACACAAACATACCTACTTCCTCCTCCGAGTCCTCAGCCAACAGGAGCCTCTGGGGTTGAGTTCCTCCCTGTACCCTGGGTGTCTCTTCTACAGTTAAAGGGCCCCGAGAAACAAAGGGCAGGGGGACATTCAGGCGATGGTACTGGCAGGGCAAGTCAGCAAAGAGAATCAACTCCTGGTCCCTCAGCCGATGACTCACCCCTGGGCTTAGGACCTTAGGAGGCCTTAGGACTTGAGTACCATTGAGGCTGCCACAATCTTGGAGGACAGGTGCCTTGTCCCAGGCCAAGATTTCAATCACTGCATGTTGTTTGGAGATGGATGAAAAGGGCAGGGTCACAGAGCAATCAGGCATTCGGCCCACCATATTCTTCCCGAGGTACAGGGGGAAATCTAAGAATTAGAGAGGCAGATAGGTTAAGGCCTGAGTCTTGGCCTGCTATCAGGAAAATATTCCTGTTGAGTACCCCATTACTAACTCAAGGTCCTCACACACGTAAGAAAAATAAGATGGGGGCGCCTGGGTGGCTCAGTCGTTCAGCGTCTGCCTTTGGCTCAGGTCATGATCCCAGGGTCCTGAGATTGAGCCCCGCGTTGGGCTCCTTGCTCTGCAGGGAGCCTGCTTCTCCCTTTCCCACTCCCCCTGCTTGTGTTCCCTCTCTCGCTGTCTCTCTCTGTCAAATAAATAAATAAAATCTTAAAAAAAATAAAAAGAAAAGACGGGCAACCCTGTCGGGACCCCTCTCACTCTTAAGAGCTTTTTCTGTATTTTCACTTAATAAACTATCACTTTACTCACACACAAAAACAAAAAAAGACAGTAGGATATCTAAGTATTGAAAAATATAAACAATGTGTTATCGTCAATACCCCATCCATCCATATTGGATTTTTTCTATTGTGATAAAATATATGTAAAATTTGGGCGCCTGGGTGGCTCAGTTGGTTAAGCGACTGCCTTCGGCTCAGGTCATGATCCCGGAGTCCCAGGATCGAGTCCCGCATCGGGCTCCCTGCTCGGCAGGGAGTCTGCTTCTCCCTCTGACCCTCCCCCCTCTCATGTGCTCTCTCTCTCATTCTCTCGGTCTCAAATAAATAAATAAAATCTTTAAAAAATATATATATATATATATATATGTAAAATTTGCTATTTAACCATTTTTAAGTGTACAGTTCAGTGGCATTAAGTACATTCACATTGTTGTGCAACCATCACCACCATCCACTTCCAGACCATGCTGGATTTCCATTTGAATCTCTTCATCTCCTACCAAAGTAAAATTGAGCCCACTGAGTCCAGGGCACTTGCCTAGAATAATCAACTCAATCAGCCCCCTCCTCTGCATTACCAGTGAAAAATTTTTTCAGATCTCCTTGAAACATGTATAAGCTTCTTACAACCCTCCAACTACCTCCCCACAAAAATAAGAGGCCTACACCAGTACTTTAACATCCAATAACCTCTGACCTTTTTCTGGTCCATGGGCACTACTGAAGATATGCAATCGCCCTACGGGCTCCAAGCTACACCCCAAGGATTCACTGGATCTCTCTGTCTCCTCCTCTTCTTCAACCTCCCAGTTAATAGCCTGGGTGTCCTCCATGACCTGGGAAGGAAACACATTATCATCATCTCTATCATAGGTTCACACACACAGCCTCAAAGAGGGGGTTATAACTGGGGGTAAATCTGGAGAGTTGTGGAGGTTGACATTTCTCCTTCTGACAATCATTCTGTTATTACCCTTCTGAAACATTTAAAAAATATTTGTGACTATAATAAAAAATAAATATTATGGGGGAGGGAATAAATATTAGAAGGTCCCAAGTACACAAACTATACGTAAGCATGTGCTTATGTATAGAGAAAAACATTTTGAGAAACAATGCTTAGCCTACGGTATACAATACACTGATAGTTTTCATTCTTTTTTTTTTCCCCATCCACTATTGTTTAAATGCTGATCTACAACCTGCTAAATTGATTTCACTATCCACTACTGGGTTGGAACCAACAGTTTGAAAAAACCGTTTTAAAGCGAGCTAAATTTTGCCAAGCGTCAACTGTGTGTTGGGCATTGTGTTATGTGTCAGGCATAATAGACATCTGAGACATGCATTTGGGAAACTAAGGCTAAAAATACTAAATGACTTGCTCAGGATAACAGCAGGTAGGTGGAAAGGACAGGAATAAATGTGCTTCTGGAGGCAAAGCCCATGCTTTTTATATTTTACCAGAACATCACAGTGTGATCAAACTAAACTGCAAAGAATCCTAACAGCTGACATACATAGAGGCTTGCTATGTGTGAAGCACTGCTCTAGTTACTTTATAATGACAGACTCTTAATCCTCACAAGAACCTGGTAAATTATTATTATATTCTATTTATCAGATTAAGCATTTGCAACATAGATGGGTTAAGGAACTAGCCCAAGAGCACCAAGATACTGTCTGTCCTCTGTTTAATATTTGATGGCTTTCCATGCCCACATGGTAAAATAAAATCTCAACTCCTTGGCAAGGACCCTCTATGATCTGAACTTCAGGTCCTGTTCCCCTCCCCCCAAAGCCTATGGTTCAGCCACATGGACCTTCTCCCCAATTTCTGAACACACTGCTCCTGTTGTTCCCCACACCTGCATGCCTTAGCCAGTTCCTTGGCCCTTCACTTAGTTTTCTGGTCCAACTCTCACCCATATTTTATCAGTTCAAATGTCACTTCCTCAATAAGGCCTTTCCTGGAATCTTCCCTGCTTTCTGGTGTTCTTTGTGTACCCTCATGGTCCCCACTGGTCAGTGAACTTGTACCTCCCCTAATCCTTCTCACTATACTGTAACCATTAATTTCCATTTCTGCCTTCACAGACCCTCCTGGAGAACTGGACCAGCAGAACTGTGTCTTTTCCCCTAGGGCACATCATTTTCTTTCTTTTTTTTTTTTTTAGGGCACATCATTTTCTTTCGACAGTACCTACTGCGCACCTGCTACTGTTCAAAGAGCTCGAGATACATTCACAAACCAAACATAAAATTAACCCTGCCCTCCTGATAAAAGGACAAAAGAAAGGTGATGAAAACTCCAAACAGTATGGGTGGAATTCACTCAGAAAGATACCACCACAGAGGTTAACTGTTGACAGGGAAAGTAGGACGCGCCCACGGGGATAGTGCTAACTCCCTCCTTAAGAATGGCGAACGCAGCGGGAGCCCAGGACCCTGGGCTCCCATCCAGTGGGCCACCATCTTTGATCTCCACCCCAGGGGGTTCCCTCCAGGCCCAACGTCTTCATACCTAACTCGGGGAGGGGCGTCAAGTAAAGATGAGTATTATAATCCCGAGAAACAAACTTCCAAGTATCCTCCGCCCAGTCGCACCCAAGGCACGCCCCTCCCGCCCTCCGGGAGAACCAAAATGGCTTCCGAGGAGCCGTGGGCGAGGCCCCCAGAACTCACCTACTTTGAGTCCCCGCGCGCGCGCCACCAGTAACGGCCGCGACCCAGTGGCGCAGGAGCTCGTGCGGAGAGGGCGCCGATTCGCTGATTGGCTCCTGCTGCTGTCTTTCACAGCCCTGCTGCCCCACGATTGACGAAGCTCCCAACCCGGAGGCCCAGCCAAAGCCTCGCCCCCAGCCTCGCCCCCAGCCTTGCCCCCGCCCCTTTAACAGCTCAAAGGGGCGGCTTTTCCTGGGCGCCTGAAATTGGTCGAGTGAGGCGGTAATCGGAGGCTACCGTGCGCGCACAGAAAGGCGCACTTCGATTGGGCGGCTCCAAGGCACAACCCACCACCGCTTCACCACCCACCGCCCACTTCCCGCGCAGATTTCCAAACCGCGACCACAGAGTCTGGGTGCCGACGGCGGATAGAGGGGCTTACCATAGCCGTCGCCGGATGCGTCTCCTGCAGTCGGAGAGCCCTTCCTCGGTCCTCCCAGACATGGAGTCCGCTGACTCATGAGAAATGGAAATGCGGTGCAGGTTGCAGTCGTGGCCGGAGGCTGCAGTTGGAGAACTGCCCGTAGGCGTGGCGCTTGAGGACTCCTCATCGCAGTGGAACTTCATCTCCTATTGATTTGGCTTTTTTAGTAGAAGCCCTGTCTTTTCCTCCCTGAGATTACATCCCTGATGGACATTTGGAGGTCATTTTCCTAAGGATCCGTAGGCGAAGAGGGAGAACTGTTTTGTTAACTATCTTAAAGGTTGACTGAGGTCTTTCAAGAGGTTGAGGAAGGTTGATAAAATCATCTTATTTCATTATCTCATACTAAGACGAGAATAGTAACAATTCGATTATGTGTATACTTCAGGAAGGCCTTTTGCATTCATTATCCCACTTTCTTGCGACCACAACAATCAAATAGGAAAAAGTAGATTTTTACAGAGGGAATTGAAGTGTGCCAAGTTAAAGGACCTGCCGAGGTTCCTACTGCTAATGTAAGGGAGAGACAACTTGAAACAAGTCCTCTAATTCTAAATTCTGAACTCTCCCCCACCCCCACAAAATAATTGCTTTCATTGTGATCATGCCCTGAAACATAAAATATTCTCTTTTAAGTGGGTAGAGAAGGTCTTACACAACTTGATGTTTGTTTTTTATTTAGGTGAGGAGAAATGTGTTGAATGCACTGTGAATTATTGATGACCTTGATATCATACGTTTTACAGTGCTTACCACACTCCATTGTTTATACACTTCCCATCAAATTGCAAAATCCTGAAGACCGGGGAACCAATTTTTACTCATTTTGTATCCCTAGCTTCTGGATTGGTGGACACTTAGTATCTATCAAATGAATTAACCCCTAAGAAGCACCACTCTGACTTGAGCACATTCTGTTTTCTCCCATCGGCCCCCCTCTTTTGTTTCAATCCTGAGGCTTTTGAAAGATTGCAACAGCCAGCCACCTAGTCAGTGAATTCAGCAAACTGAAAAACACTTTCACCAAAAGGTCTAGAGAGGCAGGCCGGAAGGCACTGAAATTCTGGCACCTCATCCATAGTTCTCTGACAAAAGCAGTGTCTTCAATGCTGCTCTAAGGCCCGGAACCCCTTACATGGACAGAAACTTCTGACTTCAAGATACCAGTTTTTCTAAACTATTCAACTTACTCTTGTGAACACACCCTCAGACTCAGACAATTACATCTCTATTCTGAAAAGCCATTGCTGCAATTTTGTTTCTCTTTCTGAACATTATCACTAGAAAACTTCCAAGAAAATAGCAGGAGGGCAGTCTCCTCTTTCTATCTGGGAGAGCAGCGGCTTACTGGAGTTCATGTCTTGGGTCACCAAAGGACCAGCTGTTAGATAGCAGAACAGGGTGCTGCATTTCTCCCCAATTTTCGCTGAACTAAGCAGCCCTCTCTTCCCAAGAGCTACCGCAGCAGGGAGCGTTCAGGGCGTGCCCACTCCACCTTCCAACGCCTGGCACCGTAGGGTTCCCAATTCCTGTATCCCCGAAAACTACTCCCTTTTAGTACAAAACACTCAGGCATAGGGGAAAGAAAACTTGCGCAAGGTCATTTTTCATAAACTAAAAAACCCCCCAAACCAAAAATCCAGTATCCACCCATCCCTCCCTTCATTTTGCAGCGTGGACAACAATGGAGGACTACAACTCCCAGTGAGGCCTGCATTCGTCCATCCGAGCAGAGACCAATGGACGTCTCAGACGTGACTGGCATCGACTAATCAGGTCCAGCCTCGATAAGGCTTTGTCTCCCGACCGCGGCGCGGGGCGCGTTCTCCCGCCTCCCAGCCTAGGCGCACGCGCGCCCCGCCCTGCCCGCCTTCCCTCCTTCGCCCTCCCCTCTCTTTTCTCCCTCTCAGAACCTTCCTGCCTCTGCGTTCGGACCTCGCTCCTCCAGCCTCTGGGACACGTCCATCCTTCCAGCCTGCGATTAGCAGTATAGAAAAAAAAAATTCCATATCATTTTCTTGCCCCGTACACACCTTGAGGCGAGCAAAAGAATTAAAAATAAATTTTAACAATGAGGGAAATCGTGCACATCCAGGCCGGTCAGTGTGGCAACCAGATCGGTGCCAAGGTAAGGATTTTAAACCTCTTCTTTTAACTATATTTCTTTTGAGAAGAAAAAAAATCCAGATAAATGATGAATGGTTGTGATATATATTTGCATACCATCCATAGTCAAGCTTTGCCCCTCAAAAGTTTTCCATATATAATAGACGTTTGTAGCTAGAATTTGTTTTTGAAAAATGGGGGAATTAGTCTTGGCTGGCTCATTTTGGGGAAGCTGTTAAGGACCTTTCGGGTTTGGCGGTGGGAAGACCGTGGTTCTGTTAAGATTTTACTTGAAAGTGTTCTAACGGTCCGAGGACCGGGGAGGGAGGGAGATGCGGAAACGGTCCGAGACAAAGCGAGGCGAGGTTTCCCCCAGGTACATCCCCCTTGGCTGGGCTTCGCCGGAGGGGGGAGGCTGGGCGGCGGCTGAAGGGAGCCCGGATCCCACGGTGGGGTGGGGGACGCGGTGCGCCAGGGTGGGCTGCGCTGCGCGGTCCCCTTCCCAAAAGATAGGCATCTCGCGCGCCCGCGATTCCCGAGGGGCGGTCCCGTAGTTCTTTGTGGATGGAAAACTAGTAGCTGCTGGATTAATTTTATTTCCTTTCATCTCCAGTAAAGAGACCCTTTTAGGGCGTGAGCCAGTATGGAGAAAGAGGGCAGGAGGGTCCTTTTCTTTAAAAGGTCCCTCAGGACTAAACGGTGGGAGAAAGGAAGAGAATCCTTATTTAAAGCAAGGGGTAAAAAGCTAGCAAAGGAAGAAAATTCCGAGGCCAAGGCAAGGGGTGGGTTTTTTTGGTGTGGTTTTTTTTTTTTTTTTTTTGCGCGCGGTTACAGTGTAGCGGGGGAAGGGCAGGGAGGAAGTGCTGCTGCTACGTTGTAGCAGAAGGGCGGGGCCGGGGCGCCCCTGGCGCGCCGGGACAATGCGGCCCTGCCGGCCGGCTGGGGGCGCCCTAGCCCAAGCCGAGCCCCGCCTCTCGCGGGCCGAATTCAGGCCCCGCCCCCGCCCACGCGCGACGCCTCCCTTTGTCAGTGGCACGGCGGGCGCGGGCGCCGCAGTCACGTGGAGGGCGGGGTGGGGGGTGGTCGATTGCGGCAGCATCTAGTCTCTCGAACCCCGGCCCATTGTGCTCGGCGGGAAGGTGTGCTCGTCCCGTGTGGTCGGCCGCCTCTCTCCCCCTCTCCTCACACTCCCACCCCACAATTTTCTGCGATCGCCGGGCCTCCTCAGCTGCACCTCGTCTCGCATTCCAAGCAGTGAAAGCTTCGGCTTCCCCGGGGTTGCGGGTGTCTAGTGGAAGGGTGTGGCAGGCAGACCGGGAATGCCAGGCCCTAGAACCAGGCTCACCACGGGTGTGTCTGGGATTAAAATGTGTAGGTCGGGTGGGCATAATTGGCCGGGACCAGAGTTGTGGAAGTCTCATTGCTTTCCCTCCGCAGTTCTGGGAGGTAATCAGTGATGAGCACGGCATCGACCCCACCGGAACCTACCACGGTGACAGCGACCTGCAGCTGGATCGCATCTCCGTGTACTACAATGAAGCTACAGGTGAGGTTGGGAACCCGGGAAAGCTTGGGTCCCATCTCCTCTTCCGCTTCTCTAGGGTCTCTCACCACCTTTGGATGGATTTGTCCTTTCTTTTTTTAAGGAGGCCTTGATTTGATTGCCCACCGTGGGGCAGAAGATTGGCTCTTCTGCCCCCTGGTGGCCGCACTTGGAATCACAAGTTAGGGTCCCTGGCTGTCTCCCAGCCCCAATTGATCTCTTTTGCCAATTTGTACTCTACTTTATTCCGTATAGGTGGCAAATACGTTCCTCGTGCTATCTTGGTGGATCTAGAACCCGGGACCATGGACTCTGTTCGCTCAGGTCCTTTTGGGCAGATATTCAGACCAGACAACTTTGTTTTCGGTGAGTTATATACAATGTGCTGTTCAATGTATTTGGGTAAAGGAGACAGCAAGGAGATTATTGTTATACTGGAGTGCTTATCCAGGGCTGTATTCTGAAATCTCTAATGCAGGGTGTTGGTAGGGACTGCCTTAGATAGTAAATAATGGGGGAGGGATGTATCACAGGTGAGTGAGAAAGAAGGCACATTTGTGTACATTATTCCAAAAGTTGAAAGGTGGGAATTTGGTCCTTTATTTTCCATGCTTTACTAATCAGGCTTGCCTCCCGACCCCATTCCAGGTCAGTCTGGGGCAGGCAACAACTGGGCCAAGGGCCACTATACAGAGGGGGCTGAGCTGGTTGACTCAGTCCTGGATGTGGTGAGGAAGGAGGCTGAGAGCTGTGACTGCCTGCAGGGCTTCCAGCTGACCCACTCGCTGGGTGGGGGCACAGGCTCTGGAATGGGCACCTTGCTCATCAGCAAGATCCGAGAAGAGTATCCTGACCGCATCATGAACACCTTCAGTGTGGTACCCTCACCCAAAGTGTCTGACACGGTGGTCGAGCCCTATAACGCTACCCTCTCCGTCCATCAGCTGGTAGAGAACACGGATGAGACCTACTGCATTGACAATGAGGCCCTGTACGACATCTGCTTCCGCACTCTCAAGCTGACCACGCCAACCTACGGGGATCTGAACCACCTCGTCTCAGCCACCATGAGCGGTGTCACCACCTGCCTCCGCTTCCCTGGTCAGCTCAATGCTGACCTCCGCAAGCTAGCCGTCAACATGGTGCCCTTCCCACGTCTCCACTTCTTCATGCCTGGCTTCGCACCTCTGACCAGCCGCGGCAGCCAGCAGTATCGGGCCCTCACTGTGCCCGAGCTCACCCAGCAGGTCTTTGATGCCAAGAACATGATGGCCGCCTGTGACCCCCGCCATGGCCGTTACCTCACCGTGGCTGCTGTCTTCCGTGGGCGGATGTCCATGAAGGAGGTAGATGAGCAGATGCTCAACGTGCAAAACAAGAATAGCAGCTACTTCGTGGAATGGATCCCCAACAACGTCAAGACAGCAGTCTGCGATATCCCACCTCGTGGCCTCAAGATGGCAGTCACCTTCATCGGCAACAGCACGGCCATCCAGGAGCTGTTCAAGCGCATCTCGGAGCAGTTCACGGCCATGTTCCGGCGCAAGGTCTTCCTCCATTGGTACACAGGTGAGGGCATGGACGAGATGGAGTTCACTGAAGCTGAGAGCAACATGAACGACCTGGTCTCCGAGTACCAGCAGTACCAGGATGCCACCGCAGAAGAAGAGGAGGATTTCGGTGAGGAGGCCGAAGAGGAGGCCTAAGGCAGAGCACCATCACCTCAGGCTTCTCCGTTCCCTCAGCCTTCTTCCTCAGCTGCCCCTGTCCTCTCCCTCAGAATTGCATTTTCTGCCTCTATCTCATTTTATTTTGTTTTGTTTTCCTTTTTTGGAGGGGGGATCCTAGAACAGTGCCTGGCACATAATAGGCGCTCAATAAATATTTGTTGTTTGTTGAATGTCTCCTCTCTTCCACTCTGGGAAACCTAGATTTCTGCCATTCTGGGTAGCCCTGTATTTCCTTTTGGTGTCCACTTCTCCCATCTGTCCAGTTGATATTTCCCTTTGTTTTTTAAGGTAATTCTCCAAGAAGCTGGGTCTCATCAGATCCCATTTAGAACCATGTGCTGAAAACCCAGTAGATGGCTACCATCCTAAGCCCATGTGGTAGCCCAGGGGAAAGGAAATCAAGTTACCTCATAGCAGTAGAGGTGTACCTATAAGGAAGGGGTAGGGTTTTCTATTCTAGAGCAGTTTTGGAGAGGGATATTCAGGCTATTGAGTCCTAATTTCCAGGAATTTCCCTGCTCCTCTCAGCTTCAGGAGAGGTGTTAACAGTATTATCTCTATTTTTCGTCTTCTTCCAAGCTCTGTCCTGAGCTGTTTTTTTTGCAGGGGTCTGCCCCACTCTGTTAAATAGGATCCTCCCTCTCCTTTATAACCTCCTTCATGTTGGATTCCTTCCTTTTCCCCTGGTTGGAGAAGGGGGCCAAGAGGGGGAAGAGGGACTAGCCTCCAGAAAGACCCTCCCCCTCCCCACCTTTTCTTAGCAAACACCCAGCTCTGCTGTGTATATATGGAAAGGTGTGTATTGCCACCTAAATCTTCTGAATCATTCTTCCAGAGGGGACAAGGAGACCCTCCATCTTGGGCAACATCTCATTTCTTCCTTTTGCTATTCCCTCCCCCCGCCCTTGGCTTCATCCTGTCCTACACTTCAAATTTCTATTTTGTGTTGAACTTGCTTTTTTTCATATTGAAAAGATAACATTGCCCCAAGAGCCAAAAATAAATGACAACTGAAAAAAAGTTGTGAGATGTGTGCTCATTTAGGGAAAGCCTACCAGTGGTACATGAGGTTCACGTTCAGCTACACATAAACTTTGCTCTCCATAAACTGAGACTATCTTTATACTTAATTGACCCTCATATCTTAACCCCGGTACCCAAACCACCCCACCACCTTCACTAACAGCCTCAATAACTGGGATAGGCACAGGCTCATACTGGATCAATGGACAGAAGCGGGAATTGAGATGAATGTTAAAATAGGGCATAAGTGGTTCCCTGACCATCGACATCCTCTTGGAACTTGCAGAAATGGAGATTTTCAGGCCTACCCAGAAGTAGTGAGCCAGAAACCAGTTAACTAGCAATCTATTTTAACAGTACTCCAGGAGAATCTTGTAAGTGCAGAGTTGAAAGCTATTACTGCCCCACTTCCAGTGTATAGCACATCCAGGGTTCATTTGGGTTATGGTATCTTGCTGTTTTCTCTTACCCTTTGGGATTTTCTCGTTAACATAAAGGAAAGATAACCAGTGGGGGATATCACGTAATGGTCCCATTCTAAAGTAACACTTCCACCTAATACAACATGCTTCTAAGTACACAAAGTAAGTCTCAGAGCTACCCTGGAAATTTAAGTCTATAATTTTCCTTGGCCCTATTTTCAGTAATTGTGGGGACTAGTTCAAGTCTCACCACTTCTTCCATTTCAGTATGCTTTTTCTGCCTATAACCAAATTTTGCAGAAAAAAAGTTGTACAATTTTAACAGTGTACAAGGTAACTTCTCCCATTCTAAAAAGTCTATTGAAGGGAATAAGCTACATTCCAGCGTTCATTTTGAATAAGTTCTGCTTTATTAAGTTAATCAGCATTACTACCTTTTAACAGCAGTTGATTTGACAAAGTTGAGAACCTCCAGGCCATCCCTCAGTTTTGGTCAGGAAAATTCCAGACAGGTACACACAGTCTAATTAGGAAGTTAAATTGGGGGTGAGTAGGATAATCAGAAGGCTGGCATGGAACCCCTGGGGGACTGGTAGTCTTGGCAGTGTGGGGTTGGGAAGAGTAACCCTTCCCCTCCAAGGCAAGCCACAAGACTATTTGGCAAGGAGATGAGGGATGAAACCCCACTGTCAGGGGCATGCTCAGGGAAGCCAGCTCTGCATGCAGTATGGGGACCATTGTGGCAACCATGAGGCTAGGCATTGGCGACGGTTGGCTCAAGCTGTTCGCAAAGGCTTGTGGTTAACCTGGTAAAAAGACAAAAGGGATGACACTTGGGAACCCTGTACCCTGTTCTCCCAGATCCCCATTTGGATGAGGGCTGCAGGGACGACACACATTTCCAGAAGTCTTCTAAGATGTTTTTTTCTGCCGCCCTACCTTACCCTCTTGTCAAGCAGTAATTAGGACCAATATACAGCAACAATCACTGAAAAGGAGTGGAGGGGGCTAGAGCCCTGCTTGCACAGACCCTCCTTAGCGCCTAATCTTTCAGTGCTTTCAATGCCGGCCTCAAGAAGGATCCAAGGAACCCAGCTTGAAGGTCACTGGTATGGTCTACTGCTTTCACTTATATAATTTTTTTTTTAAGATTTTATTTATTTTTGACAGAGAGAGAGTGCACAAACAGGGGAAGCAGCAGGCAGAGGGAGAGGGAGAAGCAGGCTTCCCGCTGAGCAGGGAGCCCAATGCGGGGCTCGATCCCAGGACGCTGGGATCATGACCTGAGCCAAAGACAGACACTCAACCGTCGGAGGCACCCAGGCGCCCCTGTAATTTTTTTTTTTAAAGGTACTTTGAGAGAGAGAGAGAGAGAGAGAGAATGTGCACAAGCAGGGGGAAGAGCACAGGGGGAGGGAGAGGGACAAGCAGACCCTGCACTGAGTGTAGAGCCCAACGCAGGCCTATCCCAGGACCCTAAGATCACGACCTGAGCCGTAACCAAGAGTTGGACGCTTAACCAACTGAGCCACCCAGGCGCCCCTATATAACTTTTTAAGCACACATTCATATATAGCATGTGCCAAGCGCTGTCCTCAACACTGAAAATATTTACTCATTTAATCCCCTTAACAATTCAATAGAGTAGATGCTATTATTAACCTGATTTTAAGGTGAGGAAAGAGGTACAGAGAAATAGCTAACTTGTCTAAGGTCACAGCTAGCATGCACTGGAGCCAGGATTCACACCACAACAGTATGGTTCCAGAGCTGGCTCTCTGACCTCTATCATAATCTATAGGTGAATAAACAGGCACCAAGAAAAGCCTGATATGCCTTGGAATCAATTGTCAACAGGCTGCAACCAGTTCCTTGTACTGGTGGGGTGACCACAAGGCTCTAGAAGACAGTCAGCCGGGGTTTTTGAAATCTAGCTTTACCAGCTAGCTATATGACAGGGGCACAGTTCCTTAACATATTGAAAGTTGTTTCTTTACTTTGTAAAATACCATACACCCAAAGGATGGTTTGATTTAAAAAACCAACCAACCATTTGTGTAGAAGCTTAGCGCTGTGGGGGCGCCTGGGTGGCTCAGTTGGTTAAGTGTCTGTCTTAGGCTCAGGTCATGATCCTAGGGTCCTGGCATCAGGTTCTCTGCTCAGCGGGGAGTCTGTTTCGCCCTCTCCCCCGCCCCCACTCATGCTTTCTCTCTCTCTGCAGTAAATAAATAAAATCTTAAAAAAAAAAAAAAGAGAAGCAGCAGCTTAGCACTGTGTCTAGCATATAGAAAGCAAAAATGTCGGTGGCTCCCGAGCCTCCTTGGTGCTGGTCTAGTACTAGGCCTGCTGCATCACATGCCCCAGGAACCCAGAAACTCACAGAAAATCCACAGCTCCCACCCTAGAGACCCTCACCTGGGAGATGCTGACGCCTGTGAGTCTCTCCACGCTCTCCGGCAGGCGGCTCAGGATGTCCAGTACTTCCCCGGTCACCTTGGCTGCCCCCATGGTCCCACCTCCACTGGACACCAGTGTGATCTTATTGGCTGAGGTCAAGGGACCACTGATCTCCTCTGCTACCTGGTAGGTGAGAGATGCCCACTCAGCACCTGTGGTCTGACCACACCCCTCCTAACATGCCTTACCCTGGGCTTCAAGAGCCTTGATCTTCTTCACTTTCTAAGGATCATTCTTCCTCACTTCGGTCACTGGCTTATAATTCCCACCCCTAATCTAGAGTCCCCTAGCCTGGTTCTCCCCAAGCCCCTCATTTCCCCCCACCCTACGATCCCTGGTTCTGTTCCTCTCCTGGTGCCCACACAACCTCCAGACCTGGGGCAGCTTCTCCAGCAGCATGTCCAGCTGAGCAGCCTCCTGGTACAGCTGGAATGCTTCTGCCTTCTTGGCCATCTGCTCGGCCTCAGCCCGGGCTCGAGCCCCTATGGCAAAGGCCTCGGCCTCCCCACGCATCTGAGAATGGTACAGGAAACCGTGGTACTGATGGCTGTAGTTTTTGTTTTTTTTTTTTATTCTTATGTTAATCCCCTACATTACATCATTAGTTTTTGATGCAGTGTTCCATGATTCATTGTTTGTGCATAACACCCAGTGCTCCATGCAGAACGTGCCCTCCTCAACACCCACCACCAGGCCAACCCATCCTCCCACCCCCTCCCCTCTAGAACCCTCAGTTTGTTTTCCAGAGTCACTGATGGCTGTAGTTAAGGACAAGTAACCCCAGCTCAAACAGCAACCCCACTCGCTCCACAAGCCAGCAAGAGCCACCTCTTAACTCACCCTCACAGACTCAGCTTCTGCCTCAGCCTGCATAATCAGCTGGGACCTGGGCACAGAAAGGGAAGTGGGGGGAGGCACTGAGGAAGGGCAAAAGGCAGGCCCCGCTGGAGAGACACAGGCTTCTGTAACCCGAGTTCCGTAGGAGTTCAGGTAGGGAGGGCCTCAGCTCTTCATATGGGGGCACGCAGGTGGTAAAGGACTAGGCTGGGGCCTGGGAGGGGGCATTTACTTCTCTGCCTCAGCTAGGCGCTCCAGTTTGTAGCGCTCAGCTTCCGCGGGCTTCCGAACTCGGGCCTCCAGCTCCTTCTCTCGTCGGGCGATCTCCTGTTCCTGCACTGCCACCTGCTGGGCCCGCTCCACCACCTGCACCTGTACCCGCTGCTCCTCGATCTGCTGCTTAGTTTTGGCCACCTGGGTAGGAGCAATGCTCAACATCAGAGCTGAAGAGCAAGCTCCCAGGCACCACGCAGAGAAGCCAGGGCCAGGGCTCCAGGGTGAGATATAAAAATAGAGCAGGTACATGAAATCAGTCCCTGGTGGGCTCAGCCAGCCCAGTGGAGTCCATTTCCCATATGGATCCCAATCATGGGTTGGGGGATGGCCTGATCCTCCTCAGAGGCAGCACTGAGGGTAGGACATTTTCCAAGCAACCTCGGCATCAAGAGCTGGATAGGGCTGGCATCCGGTCCCTGTTGTCCCTCAGGCCAGGCTAAGTGTCCCTCTGTTGAGCTCCCATAATAGTCTATTTCTCCGCAGTGTCCCTCTCTAGAGTATGAGCACCTGGAGGGCTCTGATGCATGGTGGCCGTCTTCCACCTCCAGCCGCACTCAAATCCATCCACTTCTCTCCATCTGGGCTGCTGTAACCTTCCTGCAAGCCACCATCAACTCCAGCCCTCCCTGCAATAGCTTCCTACTGGTTTGGTGGTGTGTGGGGGGGTGTGTATGTCTCTTTTCCATTTTTATCTTTTGTAAATGGTACACATTCAAAGAAAAACAAAAGAACAGTGAGAAGCAAGGTTTCTGTCCACTTATTTCCTCAAACTACCTTGTTCCCTTCCCCAGAGGCAACCATTATAACCAGCTTCTTCTGTATTCTTCTTCCAGGGACATTCTAAACGTTGACAAGAACAAGTACATATAGAATTCCTCCTATTTAGGCATATTTCATTTTCTTATTCCTGTGGAGTACAGAGATCTGAAGGCTCTTGCCAGGATTTTGGTGAGGAGAGGTACCAGAGAGGAACATGCTTCTTTATTGCTCCGCTGCTCTGGCTCA